ATATCGAGGGGTAACGGGCTATTTGGTTTAAGCGACATTTTTGCAACTTTACAGGAGAGCCTTTTAAAGTTTGAAATTTCGAAAAAAAATTCATAACAAAAACGCTTCTGCAGATATTTGAACGGGGTAAATTGCATTGAAATTTAAATAAAAATATCTAGTTGCTGATGCTAATTCCAAATAAAGCGGACCTTTAATTACAAAGATAAATGTCGCTTAATACAATCTGCCCTTTTTTAGAGTCAGGAAAAATGATTTAAGTGACTTCATAACTACAATTGGCTACAAGGGAAAAAAATTAAGCGACGATGCACTCTATTTACAGAGTAAGCCAAAAAGTATGAAGTAACGAAACCCAAAATAAATAGAAGCAAGCTATTTATCTCAACTACCAATTTAGACTAAAATGAGTAACAGGCTAATTTACTTATGTGACATATAACATTGAAATTGTATCGTTAAATGTTTATGTTTATTTACATCTAAGACGATTAATGGCTGATAAAACAACCTGGATATATCGAAACAACCGAAAATCTCAGGTGCTTACATCGGATAAATAAACACAACACAATATCAAAGTATTTATTTAGATTAATAATAACAGTCTGCATAGGAACAACGATTATATTATTATTTATTCAGCAAAATCAGATAAATTAATGGGTTATTTACTGAAATTGCCGTTTTGTATGAAAAAATTTAAACGATTTTTTTCATGTATTTTTTATTTGTATTTATCGAAGTAATCACCCATGTAATCAATGCATCGTTGCCAACGCAGTGGCAGTTTATTGGGCATCAATAAACTGCCACAAAATACTTCTTAAACAAATCAGCTGGACGGGTGGCAACAAATTCTTTAAATGCATTTTGTACTGCCTCTCGGGTAATGAATTTTTTTCCCGCGAAGAAGTTATTCAAATTCTGGAAAAGAAGTAGTCTGGTGAGTAGGGTGGATATTGGAGAGCTTCCAACCCCAGTTCTTGTAACTTGGAGACCATCTGTTGTGCAGCTTTAGGTCGCGCGTTGTAATGCAGGAGCAATGGAGATGAGCGATTGACCAGTGCTGGTTGGAGATGTGTCAGCTTCTCCATCATTGTGTTCAGTTCTTCACATTACACATCCGCAGTAATGCTCACTCCGTTTGGTAAGAACCTGTGATGAATCAGACTGGCGCTAGACCATCAGTGACCATCACTTTTCTAGGAGTAAGTTTTCGTTTCGGGTATTGTTTAGGTGCTGAACTAACTACTACTACAACTATGTTGAGCAGTGCAAGGCACTGCTCGATGCATACTTAGCTCTGGCGATCATTGAGTTTGTGGGACACCCACTTGTCAAGTTTTTTTACCTTGCCAATTTGACGTAAATGGACCAATATTGTTTTGATGCTAACGTCGAAAGCTGTTGCTAAATCAGCCGTAGATTGTATGTCATCAGCTTCCACAATAGCCTATTGTCACCAAAGTCTTCGGACGACCGCGAGGTTGATCTTGAAATTAAAGTACTTAGGATTCAATTTCGATGAGCGTTTTACGTAAACACTGGCGGTGAGTGCGCGTCCCGTCTGTCTTCGACGCATTCTGGAGTGACTGAAGCGCCAGCGCACGATAGTCCAGTTGGATGATCACGATTTTTAACACCCGGGCGATGAAATAAATATAGTATCATATGACATGATTGAAATGTACCATATTAAAATTTAGTGATTTAAAGACCGATTCATATTTTTATGAATACTGGCAAAATGTTTCAATATCCATTATTAATGTTATCATCTGTATAAAACGACATGCATTTTAAAAAAAAGGAGGGCTAAATGATTTATGACTAAACAAAATATCTGAACGAAAACGACTATTTGGTTTAAGTAGCACCCTGCGTGGAAAATAAAAGCAGCTAGAAGTGTTTAAGAGACGAACCATGTCGTATTTGGGTGACGGATAAATGTTTTAAGCGACAACACACCGTGTGATTAGTGGGAAGTCAAAATGATTCAAGTTACTTGCTAGTAAAAATTAGAAACAGGAAAAACGCTTTAACTCATTTTGACTTATTAATTAGAGATAGGGTGACTGGTTTATGTCTCGGTTATTAATATGATGGTATGGTTCAAGTACATAATTTAATAAAAAATGCGAAATCCATGTCGTTTAATACACTGTCACTTTGGAAACAACACGAAAATAGAATTGTTTGAAACGCCAAAAAAGTGCTCCGATTTTAATGAAACCGGCATCAATCGACGGAGAAAAATTCGCTGATTCCGAATATATATATAACTCAATATCGCCCAAAATGTCGCTTAAACCAAATAGCCCGTTACCCCTCGATATGTTATTTTTTAATTATGTTATGTATGTTCTGCGCAAGAATAAATGGTTTTTTTTTTAATTTTTGGTCACGTCCTCACTAGGATTTCCTTCTATACAAACATATTAGTTCACATACACATGACACCCAGACCCGGAACAACAATCTGTGGATCACACAAAGAGTTGTTCTGTAAGCGAATCGAGCCCGAGACACTTTGCAGGGCAGCCAGTTGTCCTAACACCACGACATTTATGCAATCGTTCTAGATACAGTATCTATAGTAGTCATAGAATAGCTTTTTTTTGATGTTCCAACGCTATTATTATCTATTTGCGTCTTCATAAACTATTGCCCCGTCGCGGAGAACCTAACGAGTAACCGGGGCTCCGGCTCGACGTGCAGGAGAAGGAACGGGGTGGTTTTTAGTCAGTAAGAGTTTGACACTCCCTCCCGCCTCACCCAGGTGGGAGCAGTCATTCGATGATTTTCCACACTTAAAAAAAATACTATTGTCCCAAAGAAGTAGATATCTGATACTCTCCTCCTCCCTCCTCCTCGCCCAATAAAGGCCAAGATGACGCATTTTGATCCTTTTCCACCCTCATAGAAAAACAGCAATACATACCTACAGATTTAGTCTTTTTATGTGTAATAGAGTATTTTGCGCCTGAGTTTAAATGCAATGCAATGAGTTTTTATTCAGAGTTTTGCAACCAGCAAAATTTCATGTTATTGTTAATTAAAAGTGCTTTTTAATTTGCACCATTAACGCAAAATTATCTTGAGGTGGGGCCTAGCAAGAGAGGCCGCCACGAGTTCGGGGGCTGCGGAAGAATGTGACTCCCGCACCCTCGTACCCACGTGTGAGATGGGACACCGGAGTGGGTTTTAGTCAGTAAGAGTCTGACAGTCCCTTTAGTCCTCTCCAGGCGAGGGGGCTCCATGAGGATTTTCTACCTTGGGATCAAATTAAAAAAAAGCAAAATAATAAAATTCTTTCTTTTTTGTTGCAGATCGATGGTCGCATTACCGAAGTTAACATCAGATTTCTACAGAGTATTTCTCATTAAGTTTAAATTCAAGCACCTCACCAGCGAGAATATCCTTGATTATTTCCGATACAGTATCATTGTAAGTTCAACCTTTTGGTTTATGAAATAGAATTCAATTTGTTTGGCGCAAGATAGTTATTGAATAGTTAAGAATAAGGTCGCATGAGGCGCTAGTGTCGATTAAAATCTGAGGACTCTAATTAAAGAATTCGAATTTCAAATGACTGCTTGTTTTAAATACACTTTCGTATCGGGCATCAGCCTTACTGGGCCCCTTGTGTGGTGGTCTGATAGCTCTTTGAGCCGTACGCAACGGTATGGTTCTGACCAGAGCCAGCTATCCTTGCTCGCCGTCTGTAGACCTGCACTTAAGGTGGTCGGAGAATGTCGCGCGATCTCCGACGCCCGGAGTGTCTCCCGGGACGGCCGGGGCGTGAGGAGATTCGTTCCCTCCACACTAAGTAGGCGGATTTCAGATCACAGTTTTTAAGGTACCTATAGGTTTTGTTAAAGAGCGCTGATGTTCCGGCACCCTGTATTCTACCGTCACGGCTTGCAAGTGCCTGATCATTTTAATAACTAAACCAAATGGTTTAGTGGAGTAATTAAATAATTACTCCAATATAATTATGTATAATCTGTTTCAATTACTTTCAGGTGAGCGAATACATCAAAGCACATGATTATGTAAACGGTTTCATTATAATAGATGACTACAGAGAAACTAATCTACTAGATGCTGTGACAAAGCTGAACCCTGTAGACCTGCAACAATACATGTCGATATTAATTGTAAGTAATTTTGTATCTGCTACTAACGGCCCCGCCCTTGTCTCGTGGGTTAAAGAGTAGCCTACGTATTATCGATCCCTTCAGCCGCGGTCCGAATATTTCTTTTATTTTTTTAATATTAACATTAACATAACATCACGCCTTTTATCCCCGAAGGGGTAGCCAGAGGTGCACATTATGACACTGTACAATGTTACACCCACTTTTCACTATTTATGTTATGATTCCCATGTAATAGGGGGTGAGCCTATTGCCATATACCGGGCACAATTCCAGACTCCGTGCTACTACTGAGATTTTTTTTAAAAACCCCAGTAATATTTTGCCCGACCCGGGAATCGAACCCGAGACCCCTTGCCCGGCAGTCGCACTTGCGACCACTCGGCCAACGAGGCAGTTTTATTTTTTCTGTTTTCTATAATTTATCTCTTTTTGTAGTATTTTATTTTTCTTCCTTCGTTCAATTTCTATTCATTATTTTTCTAAAATAAATCTTCGTTTAAAAAAAAATACCGAGCAAAGCTTGATCATCAAGATACTATTTTGATTCAGACATTGTATAAAATAGGATATTAAAGCGTTTGGCTATGTGCACAACGGTGGCGACGCGTAGCGTTTCCAACATTTTGCGTAAGCTGTCAAATAATAACAATGTAAATATTTATAATTTTCTTTGCAAATATAAATAAAACCAAAAATTAAAATAGTATTGGTGACATTATTTAAGTGCAATTTATTCAATAGTTTTACTGATAAATGAATTTAATAATAAAAACCGGGTTTGAAACTATTACACATAATATTAGTTTCCAACCACAAACTGAGACAAATGGCAATAAATTAGTATTAGCCGAGCATGTAAGAAATGTGGAAGAAGTGCGACATAACGGCCAGAGCTACGTAATACGAGCCATGGTCCATTTCTTTGCTTTGATTTTGTACTGCAATCAACACTTTTGACAGCTGATCATCCGCATTTGTTTCCAATTTGTGCCGTGTTGTGCGCTGCGGTCGTTATCTGTCCGCCACTACTCGCTTTGCACATAGCCAATAAACAAATGACACACAACGGTACTCGAACTTACGATCTATAAACTCACGGTCTTTTTTCTGAGTTGATCAATTCATATACCTAATGACTCTAAAGGTTCTCCCTCACCGGGAGCATTCGCGTGTAATGTAACGTTACAGATCTTAGCATTACATCAGTGAAGGAGGAGAACCGAGCGTTACAATACGCACCTTGTAATGATACAATGTGTATCATGATACAACTTGTAATTGTAACACCAATGTCTGACATCTTGCTATAAAATACTCAAAGTCGAATTTATATGGTACGTTACACGCAAATAAATGCTCGTTAGTCAGGGAGGTATTATTGTAATGTAATGCTCAAATCCTATTACATGAGACTCATAACATAAATATTGAAAAGCGGGTGTTACATTGTCGGTCAGCATTCAAAGTTGATGAACACATATAGATTAACAAAACTTCTATACGCCGTATTACCTAAATCAGTTAACATGACAAGCGTCAGAAACAAATAAGTATCTTGTTTTGCATTTAAAGTATTTGCCATGTTTACTGTTTATGTGATTTCGATAATCTAAATGTGTTCATCAACTTTTGATGCTGACTGTGCAGTAGCATAATGAGCACCTCTGCCTACTCCTTCGGGTATAACAGGCGTGATGTTATGTTAATTATGTAATGCTCAAAGTCGAACCTATAATGAATACACGTGAATATTCCCGGTGAGGGAGCACCTATAAATAATGTCCTAATTGGATGATTTTTACGATATTTCCTTGACAATCTCTGTCATAAAATACATGGCAATTAAACCAACACAAATAGCAACAATGTAATTAAATAACCAAGTAACTATGAATGATTACAGACACGGATGAATGACAGAGAAAATAATTTCTAAGAAATTAAACCGTAACAATGGTTTAATGTAATTTCCTGGATAACTAATTATAAACAGTCGACATAGCTTAACTAGCCTTCATCAATTGTATTTTATGTTATTAATAGTGATATAAATAGCTTTTAAACCACCTTGTTTGGTCTAGTCTTGCAATCACAAGAATAACTGCAATTTAATAACTTAACAGCAGGCCTTTTATCCCCGAAGGAGTAGGCAGAGGTGCGCATTACGGCACTTAATGCCACTGTACAATGTAACACCCACTTTTCACTATTTATGTTATGAGACCCATGTAATAGTGGGGTGAGCATATTGCTATATACCGGGCACATATCCATATTTTAATAGGTCTCAAATAACATATCATATAATAATAAAAAAATCGATTTCAACGCCCTCTTTTTTTGAAGCCGTTTAATTAATATACTAAAATATTCTTCTATGCGTAACAAATATTGTTTTGAAAAACGCATCTAAATCGTTTCAGCTCATCGCGAGATAATTGCGCAAATACAAACATACATACAGGTTAAACTTAAGAGAACATCATTGCTTTTGAAGTCGGTAAAGAATAACCCTTTGTCCACACACTTCAAATTAAATGACATCTTCAAAACCAAAGTATGGCCTTTGGCTTAGACTTTCATACGCAAAATATGCATAACAGAACTGCCAAAAACACTGATTTCGTACCTAAACTCCATTATTGTTTTTTTTTATTGTATAAGGCGAAAAATGAACAGACGAATCCCCGTTGGTAAGCTATCACCACCGCCCATAAACACCACTAGAACACCAATACTAGATGACTCACAACCAGCCTTTTGGAAGCTAGGGATATTCCTCTTAAAATCCTAAAAGGATTTACACCACCAACTGAAAATATAAATAGCATTAATTATTAATTAATATGTTTTCGGCATACTCACGTAATTATTTGACGAGGACCAGTGACAGCGCGACAGTCGCCGCGTCGCGTGTCGTAGAATGCTGCTCATGAATATGAGCCTCTAGCATGGCTTGAAACTAGTCGAGTTCCTCGTATTGACGGCACAGTTGGTGCGGTGACTGGGCAACTAGCTGCCGCGCAAAGTGTCGCGGGTTCGATTCCCGCTCGGACCAACTCTGTGTGATCCACAGATTGTTGTTCCGGGTCTGGATGTCATGTGTATGTGAACTTGTATGTTTGTAAACGTACCCACGACACAGGAGAATATCCTAGATTGGGGCTAGGTTTAAAAAAAAAATACGAGGTAATACAAACATCGATAATAACAAGCGCATCTTTCATTTCTTCCAGGAAGGCTTCGGTGCAAGAATGAAAAGTCTCCACCTTCTATCAGACTCGAAAGCAGTGGATTTGATCATAAAGCTGATGAAACAATTCGTCAGTGACAAGATTGCTAAGAGGACGCACGTACAGAAGTCTCTGGAGGACTTACACAAGTTTGTGCCGAAGGATATCTTGCCGATAGAGTATGGGGGCAGCGAGAAGTCCATTGTTTCGATACGTAGTAAGAAATATTTCTAATTTCTTTAGGCCCGAGGCTTAGGCCCAAACTATTCAAGGTTGCTTATGGGACGACGTGCTCCATCGTAGACCGCATCATCGCTAATTACCAGGCGAGATAGTGGTCAAACGTCGACCCATCAAATATATGCAGAATGTCCTTGAAGTCCACGATCAAATGGCACCAAGTGGTCGGCAAGGTTCTAACAGTTATCAAAATGATATAAAAAACAATCATGTCATATAGTTTTTAGATTACATTGACTTAGGTGTAATCAACAAAAAAGTACACCCTGAGGTCAAAAGACTGTCAGTCTTTGGACTCTTGCTGCTACAATTCTTTATTTTTTCGTCTGTATTTTTGGTTATGTTATCCTGAATAGTGCTCCAGTATTATGGAATCATAAATTCTTGGCCCTGCCGATCACCTGGTGCCATTCGATCGTCGATTTCAGGGAAACCTTCGCCTCACCTAGGCGGGAGAAGTCATTTGAATTTTTAATTCCTATTAAAAAAAGAAAGATGCACATTATCAGATGTGACGCACACGTTTCAACACAATTTCAGACTACAAGAATTTTTAAAAAAGCTGTTATGACCCAATGGCATATTCCTTGTTCAGTAATCAGTCTAGCGGCTAAATGATCAATAGTATTTATTTCTGCAGAAATCCTTGGAAATACATGGGTAGGTTTCGTACCTATACCCTCATCCTTGAGACGTGGCGTCTTAACCTTCGAGCCACTACGACACACTTTTACATGTCAATCTTTAAATTACTTGATGGAACCGATTATTCCATTAGCAAGGCACTCAACTGCCTGTAATGCATTAATTTATATTTTATAATTACAGACGACCTAGTAGAAGCAATCACTTCGAAGAAACACATAGAATATATGGAGATGATGAACAAGGCGTGCACGGACGAGTCCAAACGAGTGGCTGCGAAGTTCAACGAGGAATATCTGGGCATGCCTGGATCTTTTAGAAATATGAGCGTAGATTAGTTTTAAAATTTTAGTGTGTATCATAAAAATAAGATTAATAAGAATCCGAATGTGAGACAAGATGTAGGGTACTATTGTAATTTTAAGTTTTTTGTATATTATTTAACAAACATGTGAGTTCAAAATCTTGGATGTACTTAATATTATAATTAAAATACATAGTGACGGGGTTTGAAAATAAAATATCTCATTTAGATATAACGTGTTTCAATTAGGTAGTTCTGAGAGAAATATCATGGAGAATTTGGCATTAGATCTACATTATGTACCTTATTTTTGTATGCATTAAGGGTTCGTATACAAGACTGCGATGCGAATTCGCAACGCAAAAAATTACGATGCGAATTGCTGCGATGCGATTTCGTGCGACAAGGCGTCTCCCAGGGTGACGATTCCTTCGACGACCGTCAACCGTACTAAACGTATTTTAAATTGAAATTTAAGTCGTGATATTGATCGTGACAAGAAGTGTGCACTTCTGTTATTGCTTAGGAGATATAGGAACAAGACACAAATAAGATTTTGGGAAGATAAGGTTTTGCTGCGCGATGCGAATCAATTCGCAAGTTCTTGCGATGAGTAGAGGGAGCTCGCAAAAATTTTCGAGCTCTCCCTCTGAGCTCGCAAATTTTTGCGATACGACGTCGCATCACAGTTTTGTGTACGAGCCCTAAAGAGTTAATGAATAGTTCGACAGTGGACTGCTTGGCGCTTTTGATGTTGATATTGAATAAAATATGGGTTTAATTAGTAATTGCAATCCTAATATGAACAACATTGTATTGTTATTTTTATAAATAACTAAGTGTGGGAGAGCCATGCTTCGGCACGAATGAGCCGGCTCGACCGGAGTGATACCACGGCCTTATAGAAAACCGATGTGAAGCAACGCTCGCGTTGTGTTTCGTCGTGTGAGTGAGGTTACCGGAGGCTTAATTACCCTCCCCTTCCCCAATCTCCCCAATTCCTGAATCCCCATCGATCCTCAAACTCCTAGTCCCCAAAAGTCCGGTAACGCACTTGTAACGCCTCTGGTGTTCCAAGTGTCCATGGGCGACGCCGATTGCTTACCATTAGGTGATCCGTCTGCACGTTTACCGGATTATACCATAAAAAAAAATGTTAGTGATAAACAAAAAATAACGACATCGTATCTATACTTTGTAAAGTAATGGTTTCAAAACAAAGTTAAGAGCAATTAGTTTCATACCTAATTATTAACAAATGCTAGTTATGTCTATAAATGATATCATGCGCTATAAAAACCCCAGGAGGTAAACTAGGGTGCACCAATTAAAATGCAACACTGTAAACGTCATCTCATCTATTTTACTATTTTTTTTATAATATACAGCTAAAGAGTTTGCTTGTCTATTTGTTTGAACGCGCATATCTCAGGAACTGCTGGTTTGATTTGAAAAGTTCTTTTTGTGTTGGATAGCCCATTAATTGAGGAAGGTTAAGGGCTATGAAACAACATGCTACGGTCAATAGGCATCGAGCAAAACGGGTGGAACCGCGTGGAAGTTGCTAGCACTATAATACAATGTAACATGAGATGAGCCACGAGAGCAAAGATTGTATTCTTTTATAATATCCTACTAAACTCAAACTCAAACTCAAAAGCATTTATTTCAATAATTAAACCATAATTTGGTACTTTTGAAACGTCAACAAATATGAGATATATAATAGTCTGTCAGTCTGTCCGTCAGTGAAGCTAGGCGCTCGTTCCAAAATGTCGATTCGAGTGGAGAAGAACGAGCAAGAAACTCCATTCGTTACTCTTTTCAACCGACTTCAAAAAAAGGAGGAGGTTCTCAATTGGACCCGTATGTTTTTTTTTTTTTTCTATATTTGTTACGCGATTACTCCGCCAATTATGAACCGATTTGAAAAATTCTTTTTTCGGCGTATAGGTACCTAGATACCTCAAGGTTGGTCCCATTTAAATTTACTAATAAAAATAACAACCCCCAAGGGTGGAAAATAGGGGATGAATTTATATATACGCAATAACTCCGCCGATTTTAAACCAATTTGAACGATTATTTTTTTATTGAATAGGTATTATCAAAAGGGTGGTTTCATGCGGATTTGAAAGGCTGCGCGTTTAGTAGGCCTACCCATATTAAATGCACTAAGGGTATCTACAAAAAAGTAACACTAAAAATTTTAAAATAAAATAATTAACTTTTTAAAAAAAATAAAACCGACTTCAAATGCGAGAACACAAAATAAAAACTAAAAATTAATAAATAATTCCTAATACCTATTACCTAATACTATAATTTTTCTTAACTATATCAAAGTAATTAAAGTTAAACCATCTAAATATCTTAAAATAGTTATACTTATATACCTACCTATTGTTTTTTGGAGTCGGTGCCAGTAATAAATGAATATTAAACCTAATGAAATAAGAAAAAGTACTCAATGAAACAAAAATATTAAGAAATAAGTTGTATGTAGCCTGGTACAACTAAACCTATACCAACAAAGAATAACAAATACCTACAAATCCTACAATAGAATACAACAAACAAAAAAGAAAGCAATAATTTGAAATATTGCGCATCCGAAAATTCAGTATTTTTGACACGAGCGTCAACGTAGTCTGCCCTCAAGCGTCTGCCCGCCTTCGGGTCGCTTACTCGAGCAAGACCGCACGCGCCCGCGTCCCCCGCCGCACCGCGCGGCCCCGCCTCGCGCCATGCGTCCCCCGCCACCGCGTCGCACGTCTCTAGTTCGCGGGTAAACTTAATACGCTGGCACTGGCACCGACTCCAAAAAACAATAGGTAGGTATATAAGTATAACTATTTTAAGATATTTAGATGGTTTAACTTTAATTACTTTGATATAGTTTAGAAAAATTATAGTATTAGGTAATAGGTATTAGGAATTATTTTTTAATTTTTAGTTTTTTTTTTAAATTAAAAAATAATTCCTAATACCTATTACCTAATACTATAATTTTTCTAAACTATATCAAAGTAATTAAAGTTAAACCATCTAAATATCTTAAAATAGTTATACTTATATACCTACCTATTGTTTTTTGGAGTCGGTGCCAGTGCCAGCGTATTAAGTTTACCCGCGAACTAGAGACGTGCGACGCGGTGGCGGGAAGCAGCATTTTTGTTTCATTGAGTACTTTTTCTTATTTCATTAGGTTTAATATTCATTTATTACTGGCACCGACTCCAAAAAACAATAGGTAGGTATATAAGTATAACTATTTTAAGATATTTAGATGGTTTAACTTTAATTACTTTGATATAGTTTAGAAAAATTATAGTATTAGGTAATAGGTATTAGGAATTATTTTTTAATTTTTAGTTTTTATTTTGTGTTCTCGCATTTGAAGTCGGTTTTATTTTTTTTAAAAAGTTAATTATTTTATAAAAAAGTCTGTTTTACATTGCTCTGATACATATACACACACTAATATTATAATATAAATATAAAAGTTTATATGTTTTGTACTCCTTCGCATCAAAACGATTGAACGTATCGAGATGAAATTCAACAGTTTTGGCTACTTTCTATCTCGAAAGAGCGCGAGCGACGCCGCCGGCAGAAGCATGTTGAGCATAATTTTGAATCCCATTTTAGAAAAATAACAAACATTTTAAATGTGGCAGAGCCATGCTTCCGAGTTCATGACATCCTCACCCAATACGCCAATCCTTGCTCCTAAAAATTTCTAAGCCCCATAACGCAATGGTGTCGTAACTGCTCTGGTGTTGCAAAAATCAATGGTTTTTTTAAGGGGGGAACATCATCGTATGACTACTCCCGCCTGGGTGAGGCAGGAGGGAGTGTCAGACTCTTACTGACTAAAAACCACCCCGTTTCTTCTCCTGCACTTCGAGCCGGAGCCCCGGTTACCTGTTAGGTTCTCCACGACTCCAAAAAAATCAATGGATTATGCTGATTGCTTACAATCAGGTCGTCCGTCTGCTCGTTTGCTACTTCATTCCAAATAAAATACTCCGATTCAAGACTCCCTGTTTGGCAATGACACTTGTGACCACCTGATCAAAATTTTGGTCAGGTGATGCATCACAAAATTATACAAGCAACGATTACTTGTTTTGACCATTTTTGAGCCACGAACGACCTTGACTGACTTTGCGGTCAAACAAGCACTTTTTCTTTTGAATCTTTTTCTATCAAAATATTTTTATTTTTGTCTTATACTTGCTTAGATATTTCTAATTCAATACTAAGTTTCAAGTGACTTTTAAGCGCATTTAAGTCTCCATCCATGGTTTTATAATTTTCAAATTATAAGTTTGAAATCGCCAACCCGAATTGAGCAGGCACAGTGATTAATGCTCAAACTTTCTCCGTGATGTCATGTGAAAACTCCATCCTAATTGTCCTATGTTTTGAAATTTTAAAATTATGCTAGGGTTTACAAGTATCTTAATTCCCACTTTTGGGAACTTTACAATGTCTAAATGAATAAATACTCCAAATATACCAGATAAGAATATAGAACATAATTTGTATGAACTATCTACCACAATGACATGTACTTATTGAGGGTGGCGAATCAGGCCTTTAGCCGGGGCTCTGGCTCGAAGGACAGCAGTAGGAACGGAGTGGTTTTTAGTGAGTAATAGTCTGACACTCCCTCACGCCTCATCCAGGCGGGAGAAGTCATGTCGATAATTTCCCCCTTAAAAAAAAGCCTCCAGGATTACAAATCAAACATCAAGCCAGTCTCTCTTAACCAATAGTTAAGCACTAGTCTAACAGACCAAGCAATACGATTAAGTTGTTGGATAACCGTTTTGAAATCTGTGTCGACGACTGTACGTTCGTTGTGACATAAGAAGCCGATTCGCAACTTTATATACACGCACTCATTCACTATTAAGCAGTCCATCAGAATACTTTAAAGCATACGGTTATAAAAACCAAAGCCCTATAAACATATAAAAAAAACCATAGATCGAAAAGTTCTTTGAATAAAAGTGCAAATATGGAGTTATTATATGAAAACCAGATTTTGAGAATGCCACCAGGCACTGTTGAGAATATAAGGAAGATTCACGATCTAGATAAACCTGAAAGATTGGATGAAGCTATCAAGATCCTGGATGATTGGATACAGAAACAGGAGCATTTGGTCAAGAAGGATTTTAGTGAGTACCTAAGTATTTAGTTTATACATATTTCAAATTATTTTTCTAAAATTCTATTTAAGTTAAGAATTACTATCTGTCGTGTTAGTTACAATATTTTTAACGCAATAACGGCTAAATTTATTTGAATAAAAATTGGTGTGTAGGTAGTTTAGAACCAGGAGTCGGACATAGGACACTTTTTATCCAAGAATTTTCCGAAAATCCTACTACTAGTACTAGTACTACGTAAGCTAATATCAAATAAAAAAAATATTTTTGGCCCTAAATACGACTGTTGAGTAGGTTTGATTTTGACAAATTATTATTTAAACTTGTAGGTAATTTTCTGAATATTTTATTAAGAATTTGACTGCCAATAAAAAACAAGGTAAATCCTCCGCTAATGCCGGGCACCGGTGATCCCCATGGCGTTTAACGTATTAAGATTTTGTTCATGATTTATTTATTTATTTATTTATTTATTTATGTACACACATACAATATAAAGGACAACACATACATAAAATTAAAGTACAAAGGTACCACATATTCCTATTGGAATTTCTTCCTGTGGACCTGGAGCAGGAAAAGTAATAATAATATAATGACACAGTGTGTAGTAACAAATAGAAAATTGGGATAGGAAACAGACTTAAAACTAACAGATAAATAACCAAACAACTACATACAATACATAAATAAATACATACAAAATATAAACTATACATATAAATGAAGAAATTTACATATCAGGAGGAAAGGTAGTGTTCTCTCACTCGTTTTTTAAAGATAGCGATAGACTCAGCGTCCCGAATGTTAGGCGGGAGCGCATTCCACAGTCTCACTGCATGAACGGAAAAGGAGTAGGAATAAAAATCGGTATTATGGGGTTGGATTTTAAGATTAGATTTAAGGTGTGAACGAGATAGGACTTCAGGAGGACGAACCAAGGAGAAACGGTCCCGAAGGTAAGCAGGATAGGCAGGGTTGAAGAGGATGTTATATAGGAAGCATAAAATGCGAGTGTTCCTGCGAAGACGGATCGGAAGCCACTTGAGCCTATTGCGGAATACGGAAACATGGTCGTACTTTCTTAAACCAAAGACAAAGCGGATACAAACATTTTGCAATCGCTCAAGTTTATTTAAAAGCTCCTCTGTAGCATCCAAATAGCAAGCATCCGCGTAGTCAATCAGAGGCAGGATTAGCGCTTGGACGAGGTGAATCTTAGTCTTCACAGGCAACAGGGTCTGGAGGCGCCTCAGGGAATGAATGGAGAAATAAACCTTCCGACTAACCTCGTTCACCTGGACAGTCCAGGACAAATTTGAGTCGATATGCACTCCCAAGTTCTTTGCAGAATCAGTGAATGGAATCACAGTGCCATTCAGACGCAATGGAACAAGACCAGAGACGTCGAGAGCGTTACGATAATATCTGCTTCCGATAACCATGGCCTGAGACTTGAGAGGATTGATTTGCAGGCCAAAACATCTGGCCCACTCTGCAACTCCACCCAAGTCACGATTCATGGCATCGAAAGCAGAATGAGCTTCAGATATGTTGAAGTGACGGTATAACTGCAAGTCGTCTGCATAGAGATGGAAATTAGAAGAGATCACCCTGGCAACGGTGTTAATGAAGACGGAGAAAAGGACAGGAGAAAGGACGCCACCCTGGGGAACGCCAGCCGCAAGGTCACACCAATCGGAAAAGGTTTCCTCTAGGTGGACCCGCTGACGGCGACCCCGAAGATAGGATTCAAACCAGGCCAGAGAGGAAGGTGAGAAATTATTGGCCTTCAGGACCCCCAATAGAATGTCAAAGTCCACAGAGTTGAATTTAGTTATAGTACCTGATATATAATAGTACTTTAATAGGCGTATCTTCTTATAATTAGGACTGGACTGGACCAGAAGCCGTTGGTCAATTGTCTGCCTGAATAAATGAGACTATTATAAAGATTTTTTTTTATTCCCTTAAATGGGTTGAAGCGTACAACGTTATTTTTTCACTGCAACTCGTTGCGCGATTACCGGTTGCCCAATTATGGTGCTAGGTTTCGGGTTAGGCTAGCCATACACCGCGGTCCGGCTCAAAGAAGGAACAGGAGGGGTGGTTTCTACCCTGTTAAGAGTTATTTTTTGTGGGGAGTAAATCATCATTTACTTCCCACCTTGGGCGAGGCAAGAGGGAGTGTCAGACTCTTACTGACTAAAAACAACCCCGTTCCTGCTAAGTTAATCTGTAACCTTCGATTCGAAAGATCGAAATGAACTCGATCGCGGTCCGCCATCTCATTGGTTGTGAGAATAATCTCGACCAATGACGGGCTTGAATGCGATCGAGCTTACTTCGACAGGTCGAATTTGGCTGGGACAGTATAGGAGAAGTTATATATATATATATATAACTTCTCCTGATTCGAGTCGGAGCATCGGCAACCCGCAAGGTTGTCTGTAGCTCCGGCGTTAGAAAGCCCGACTCTCCCTCTCGCCTCATCCAGGGTAGGAGGAGTCTTTTGATGACTATCCATCCATACAAATAAGAACTCTATGTGCAGTCAAACCCGTGATCATGATCATTGGTCTCAAGTTCTGAGGAGCGAACATATTATAAGTTATGCGCAATTTTTGAAAATTTGCATAATCAAAAACGAATATTCGTTGTAAAAGTACACTTCCATCAGAAACCTCTCGTTCGATAGCATTTGTAACTTGTTCAACAAGGCAATCAAGATCAAAATTTTATTATTATTGAGAAATACAAAACGTGACGCTTAGCTAATGATATGCGCCAATAAGCATTACATTGGCAAATCTAGGGCTCTTATATTGGCAAATATTTATTTATTGATGTTCTTACAAATATGCTTTTACAAGGGAAGATAAATTAATACAAATTTACATAGGTACTGCATATTGCTTTTTTTCATGGGATAGTCGAGTAGACGGATCAACTGATTAAGCAATCGGCGTCGCCCATGGACACGTTACAAGTGCGTTACCGGCCTTTTAGGAATTATGAATTCGACTATTGTTGGGGATTCAGGGATTGAGGAGATTGGGGACGGGGGCCTCCGGTAACCTGAAAGTGAGAAAGAAAAACAATTTATTACACCACGACACACACAAGAATGCCAACTTCTTACCTATCAGTACTAATAATAGTTATTTTTGGCTTTTTAGTCGTTACATTTTGTTTGTTTTTAGTTTTGGGTTTTTTGAAGTCGGTTTATTAAACGTCGTTTTTATTTTTTGAGGTATAAAATATAAACGTTCATCTATTTATTTCATCATGTTCAACAACCCATCGAGGGTCTTATGCACTGATGTTCGCGCATAAGACGTCGGATTCCAGGTGGCCAGTTGGGAGACAGGTTAATACTCCATTGCTAAAGTATAGGCCGCCTTTACATAATTTAATGTATTTTAGTAACTGACTTCTTCTTCAACCAACTATAGGAGGATTACGTGTATTTTGCGAGCTGGCAATGATTTCAATAAACTCTGTAAAGATGTTTTCTTTTGATCCATTTAATACAAAGCTGACTGAGGCGCGCAGGCGCATGAACCTTGATTTCTTTAATTCATAGTAGGTACCTATACAGTAAACGGTGTCGCGGAGAACCTAACGGGTAACCGGGGCTCCGGCTCGACGAGCAGGAGAAGGAACGGGGTGGTTTTTAGTCAGTAAGAGTCTGACACTCCCTCCCGCCTCTTCCGGGCGGGAGCAGTCATTCGATGATTTCCCCCCCCTAAAAAAAAAAACAGTAAACGGTTCTTGATGGTTGGCAGTAATTTACGCATTATTATGGATTGCCTGTAGTTTAATTATTATTTGAAGTTTCAAAGTATTACTCGGTTTTTAAAAAAATCTCAGTAGTAGCACGGAGTCTGGAATTGTGCCCGGTATATGGCAATAGGCTCACCCCCTATTACATGGGACTCATAACATAAATAGTGAAAAGTGGGTGTTACATTGTACAGTGGCATAACGTGCACATCTGCCTACCCCTTCGGGTATAAAAGGCGTGATGTTATGTATGTTATTTGTAGTTTAAGTATTGTATTGGCATGTTTCTATTCCCTGGTACTAATCGTGGAAACCAGTAATTGGTTTTTTATTGTATGCCACGTTCTATTTAATCAAATCGTATAGCCGTTGGTTTACCAAATGTATAAATAAATAAAATATGTCAGTTGGCCCTAAAACCACACTTGATAAGCAAGGAGTTTAAAAGGTTCAGGTTGGTTTAAAAGGATGATAATACAAATAATAAAATTGTAGATATGCTATTTGAATTCATCTCATATTTTTGGGAATATATTTGGCTCAACCAGAAACGGATTATGATTAGCTAAAATCATATTTCTTCTAAAAAAAATAATTCTGTTTGGGTACCCACTTTTATAAATGTCAATGTCAAGTATCAAGATTAACGACGACAATAAATATTACCGACTTTTTTAATAAAAAAACTAGACTATAGATATAGCATATTTGCATATTCTATTTGAAATTATAACTTTAAATTCTTGTACAGACTCTTACTGACTAAAAACCACCCCTTTCCTACTCCTGCACTTCGAGCCGAAGCCCTGGTAACCTTTTACGTTCTCCGCGGCTCCGTATCAGCATCAGCCCTATTGGGCTCCATCCGTGGTGGTCTGGTGGCTCGTTGAGGGACCCGTATGCTCGGGCCTGGTTATGGTCTGGTAGACAATGCCTGCAGCATTAACGCTGCACTCAATTTCAGACATGTGTGTGCAATTTTTGTTTATGTTGAAGAAGAAGCTAAGGGGAGGATTGCTTAAGAGAGTATGCTCTCTTATTGCCTATGGGCAATGCATTCTTTAATTTCTATCCTCCACCGTAAGCGCGGGACTGCGGACGGCGAGCATGGGTGGCTCCCCGTCCGACCAGAAACAGACCCGAGCGTACGGCGCGTCGCGTTCCGCGTGCGCCTCAAAGAGCCATCAGACCACCACAGATGGGGCCCAATAGGGCTGTTGCCG